CAGCCCCACCAGCAGGGCACAATGCGAGAGCAGTCAAGTGTGCAGACGTGAGTGGCCAGCCAAGCAAGCGAGCTGGTGGGTGCTGGTAGCACCAGTGCCACCTGACTTAAGGCAGAAAGATGTACTGGGCAGTCCAACGAAGTCACATTCTGGAGAAGCATAGGACTGTGCTGCTAAGGTGCTTAATTTTCACTGGCTCACACCCTAAAATTGGTGACATCTTTGTTTTTGCAGAGCCACGATAGCATTTTGTGATGTATATTGCTGGAACTGAGCTCACATTGGATTCACAAATGCCATTCTAGTATTTCAGTGGAAAGCAGTTTACTGGCAGTAGAAAAGCTCTGCAATGGCAACACACGTATGTTTTGTTTATTATGGAAACACTTTACTCACAAATGAAGTCAATTATCTAAGCAGCTGGAGTTGGAAATCTAACAATGGAATGGTGACATTCTTGGATTTGCATGTAATGTGCTTAGCTGGAAATGAAGGCGGTATAAGACATCAGGGTCAAACAATACAGTATATTAGTCCAGACGAAATTCTTTCTCTACATTTAATACAGTAAAACTAACAATTGTGGAGTCCTCAGATCTCTTTGGAACCAATTCACACACTGCTTGCATTTAAGAACAGAAGAGCCATGTAGGATCAGAGTTGTTCTTTATTCTTTGAGTTCACCTACAGTTTTGTGTTAACCGCTGTGGGGGTAAGAAATGGAAGAGGAAGTCTACTCACAGGCAGCCCCTTGCTGCCTGTGAGTAGACTCTAATCTGTGTGTTCTCTAATCAGTCCAGCACCCATATTAGGCACCAGAATGTCAACAGCTTAAGCTCCTCATCTGCCTCTAGCCCCTAAGGAGACCCTCATAACCTGGCATCAGGGTCTAGCAACCCCTCTTTCAGGGAATACCAGAAATCAGCTGACACACAGCCATGCTTAGCATATGTGGGTTAAGAAATGAAGAATGGAAACCTCAACCAAGAACAGAAACAAGAGCTTTTTAGTTTAACACATGCCCTCACATCATTTTCTTAACTAATATTTCCCCTTTATTCTCTTATCTAGTTTCTGAAATACAGGGAACACTGAGGAATGCCCTGAAGCTTAGGATAAGGTACCTATGCAAATGGAAACAATATAATTCCTTGTATAATAGCAATTATTAAAAAAAACTCCTATATGTAGGAGAAGCATGGCGTACCCAAGCAAGAAGACTACTCCACGCAGAGCTGCTTGCTCCAGCTGCCTGACCCAGTAGTCAGCTGTGCCTTTTAGGTTTCTGCAAGCATTGTCTTCCACGGGATGCCTGCCTCCTCACAACAGACTGGCAGGCTCGCTCGTATAGCTCTTGAGAGAGCTGTTGCCCCACACCTGTGCCAAACACCGAGCCAATTCTTTATGTAAGTTACAAAGCAGGTACTGTTGTCTAAAATAACTTATATTTAAGATATAAGACAATACTAAATTTCACCAAGGAAGGGCCTGCATGTGGTCTGGCATGCCATGGAAGCGTTGTTATGATTACTGATTAAAGCTTCCTTTGGCCATTGCTTTTGGTTTTCCCTTCTCTGGGCAGCACAGGTAGGGCACAACAAGACAGAGACTTGAGGAAATTCTGGCTCATATCTAGCAAGATTTTCAAGGAGCCAGGGATTGCAGTAACCAATATCCTTTTGAACCACAAGCCTATCAGGAGTCTTGGCCTGCCCTGGCAAGCAGCTAGAAAGTTCTGGGATTTGCCTGCCACAAAACTCTGAACTTCAGCACTTTTGAATTGGCTGGCATTCATCAAGTTTCAGTCATAGTCATCATCATCACCACCACCTCCTCTAGGTTGGATCCTGCCAAGTTTAAGACTACCAGGCTTTGAGTGTGGCTCTTTTTCCTTTGTTCATACACGTAACACACTTATTCATGATCCGGAATACAGTGATAAAATGCTGGGAGTTTGTCCATACTTAGAGGGGGAAACACCAGAACAGATTCCTGATATTAATACACTGGCAAGAGAGTTCCAGTAATTTTTCCCTGCAGGTGCATAAGTTGCTTTGATGCTGCTCCAGTACAAACTGTTATAGTACTTGAGAAGGAGAGCTGCTAAATGGTGATACTTCATTTTTAGCCAAGCATTGAGCCACCACAGTATTAAGCATTATTAATATACTTAAAATAACAATATTTAAAATATGCCTAATATTTTTCTCAGAAGTACCTGAGTTTCAGATTACAATTGCTTCAGGTAGGGTCCAGAGTTAGGCTGCTGGAAGGTGGTTTTGGTGCTTCCTCCTTCCCGCAGCAGCAGCTTCATCCCCCTGAAATGAGAGAACCAAATTGTGGGTGGGTTGTGGTATGAGGGGAAGGAGAAATCCCCCCAAGACAGGCAGAGGGACCTTCCATGAGTATAAGCCTTCCTGTGAAAGATTTGTTCATCTTGGAGAAGTCACATTTTGGATCCAACCATAAGGAGCTGTGTTTCACCGACCATATTACATTTAAGACAAATCAACAAAAAGAATATGGAGCTATGGCCCTATGGCCATTGGTTGTCTCTATTGTGGCATGTAAAGGCAATTGTGGGTTGGTTATTCAGTTATAAATTAGGAATAAGTTGTCCCATCTCAAATTTTAGGCGTACATTTTCTTGAAATACAGTCTACCGAATGGGATTGTCCATCAGAGTGAATAAGCTTTGTGCAGGAAAGTGTATATTATAATTAAGAGTGGGCAGCTAGGACTCTCACAGTCCAATAACTCACATGTCTACTCATAAAAAGCCCCACTGTATTCAATGGGAATTACTCTCAGGGAATGCTGCATAGGTTCAGGGCACAGTTCTGGTGAAATGATTGTGCAAAGACTGAGTAACTGTGGCCAGGGTGATATTTGAAAAGGGTTTTTAATTGCACTGTATATATGCCAAAATACATGTTTGTCATAAAAGTGCAACTTCATTTTTTGCCTCTTTCCTTCCAAAGGCTAATCTCATTATACATACCTCAGGACTTCTTGCACACATGGAGAAGGTGCTGTGGTGCACCTATATAATGGTAGACACTGGATTTAATGCTTAGCTGCTTCCCCTGCTCTAGGCTTAATAGTCTTCCATGCCAGGTTCTGTCAATAAAAATGCACATGACTTCACTTACTTCGTAAGCCAACTCTGCTGCATTTGGGGGATTTTCTCTGTCTTGCAGGCTAGACCCTAGGCCTGCCCTTATGGTACCACTGCGGTGTGCAGTGGTGGTGGTGGGGGCGGGATTTTGCCACCTAGGGCACTGGCTGTATTGATTCCACAATGGTACAACACGTGCATCCTTTCTAAAGAGTGCAGGATTCAGCATACTGAGAACCCCGGCATTTAAGTGTATGTTGGTTTGAAGATGATTATCAACAGACAAAATGCTGAGGTATGTAAACAGTTTCATTCTAACTGTAATCCCACAGCCATTTAACTGTGAGCAGATCTCACTTAACTCAATGGGGTGTACTTTTTAGTCAGCATTTGTAGGTTTACAGAAACATTCTTCCATTTCTTTTCTATTCACTTGTGCTGTTGCAGGAGTGCTAGAGACAATGAGTGCATCACTTCTGAAGACAAAAACAAGAAAACACACCAAAGAAAAAATGCATTTTTTAGGAGTAAGAAATAGGATAATATTTTTTTAAAAAACTGGTTCATGCTCCAGCACCTTTAGCAGAAGCTTGACAACTGAAGATTTGTAGATTACAATACTTATCCTCCTCTTGTGAAAAGTCTCCACATTTCTCCACTTCAGGCTGCTGTCAAAAGCACATCTTCCTGACTCACATAAGGTCTTCAGTAACAATCCATGGGGTGACTTCCATGATCTTGCAATGATGCCACAAATACATGGTTGATTCCTTACTATATTTATGTGGTACAAGGCTAATTCCTTACTATCTTTATATAAGAGAACTCCAAAGCATTGTATTCTAGCTGTCACACAACATAAACAATTAAATTCAATACTATGGACCAGTGTTTGCAGTATAATCTTTTTCCTAGCAAATCAGGGTAACCAGACTGGTTGTTGGCTCTTTCTTCAGCATTTGTGGAAGGATGGTGTCATCCATCACTGCCCCAAAGGGCTATAAGCTGATGAATGGAAGGTATGCAAGATGGGCTCTAGGCTGCACTGGTTTCTGTCCACCATGGTCACACTGGTTCATACTACTATGTAATTCTGTCTAACAGGAGTCTCAGCCCTACCAGAAGCATGTCTAGGTCTCAGGTGGGTCTGAAAAAATGACTTCAGAATAGTCAACCCTTTGTTTCAAGGTCTAGTATGCCACCAGAGAAAATCTATAACTAAGTAGTTGCTTGCTTCTATTTAAAAACAAACAGAGGTTTTCAGAGTTTCAAATTTTAGAATAGTTTCCAACAGCCAGAGGATCCCAGTGTAGCAGCCATGCTCCCACCTGAGAAAAATCTCTGAATTACTGGAAGCTTCTCAGTCTTGTTCCATAGTGAACCCCCATTCAGATTTTAAAATCCACTGTCAGGCAGTACATTAACAGGATCAACCCAAATACCCTAAAATAGTCAACTGAAAAATGGTTAATGATTCTGTAATTTGAATTTCTCTAATAGATCAACAAGACTTCCTCGATTTTTTATCATTCACTGTACAGTTTTTGCATATAGCTAATAACGATGCACACATCTCTTATTTCATTTGTTCACAGTTGTTGGAAGCAGTGAATCAGAAGGTGTGAAGATGTAAGACTATCTGTATTTAGTGGGTGGTAACTCAATCTGAAGCAAGTTGTTTCAGGAGCAGTGTGCTACCTTACTCAGAGTGGCTTGGGATTTTTTTCAGCAAGTTTGTTCCTCTACAACAGAATTGCCATTTGCTATAAAAGGACTGTTAGCTTGAAATTGGTGACAAGTGTGATAATTGGAAACATTCATTGGAGTCAGTATATCTATCCTTACCAATGGTCTCAAGAGGTATAAGATAGAAATAAGCAAAATGATGGGAAAAGAAGTTGCTAATTGGGAGAGTTTTGTTAAAATATCTTTATGGCTGGCTATCTTACTTTATTGGGTAAGGTTTTAAAAATATACTTCCTTTCCAAGAATATTTAGATGCTACATTGTACTCATAATATGCTATTATTTGAGTAAAGGCTATGTATTGATCTGTTATGTGGTAGGATTTGATTTGCTGTTGTTGATTTTGGTTTTAAGGTAATTGTACTAATATTGTATAATAAAAATGTACTTTAAACTGGAGTTTAGATAGCATTCTTCTTTCATAAATTTGAGCATGTTGCTGCTATCTGTGATTGCCAAATGTGTGGGTAGTAGTTCTTGAAAGGCTAATATGTTCAGGCCCTCTAAGGTCCCTGTTGCAGTGCTATACAGATAGCTAAATACATTAGTTGGTACTTAAACCTTTGAACACCTACAGTGCAATCTTATATGTATCTACTTTGAAGTAAATCTCATTGGTCCAAAGAAATCTTGGAGGCATCCAAGGGCTTTGGTATGCAACTAGTATTATTGAGCATCTAAATAGCAGTGTTGTTTAAACATTATTTGATGGTCTTGCTGGATTTAAAAAGCAGTTAAGCTGGTAACATCTGGTGGCTGCTGGGATGTTACTCTAATCTTAATCCCTTTGAGTATCTTAAACTTTTTTGTATAGGCCATTAGATCCTACCTCCAATTATATTTCATGTTGAGCTGAATTGGATAGATGAAATAAATGTGATGAAAAGCCTTAATCAAATGTACATGGCTATGAAGTATTTTTTCCCTAAGCAACTATAGTCTATCTCTGACATCTTGCTCCAACTCTGCTTAAGATGTCTTTAAATGCTATTCCTTTGTAAGGAAGGTAGGAAATGAGAGGTAATGCACAAGACTCATGCCTATGTTCTGAGAGCTGGGGAGACCTATAGGCAACTTATTGTTGAGAATAAAGCTCATTTCAGACCATACTGCTTGTTTCTCTCTGATAAGGTGCTTCTTTTTCAGAGCTTCATCGTCTTGATTGTTTTCTCTGTACCCATGCACTGAGACAGCTTCAACATTTTGAGTTCTATCTGTTATTAACCCTGCAATCCTATATGTGTAGACCAAAGAGTAATTTCTACTGAACTCAGTGGAGCTTACTTCTGAGTAGACATACCTAGGATTATACAGTAAATTGCCAAAGAGGCAGGAATCCTCTCAAAACTCCTTCATCCTTCTGTCAACTTGGTGTTCTCCAGGTGCTTTGGTCTTCAGCAATTTGGCCAACATAGCTAATTATGGGAATTGCTGCTCTTTGGATGTTTTGGTGTGCAAATTGGGGAAGGCTGCTATAATGAACTATGAGAGCTCTTGCTTTCTCTTATCCCACTCTGATAGCTCCTTCTTAGACCCTTTGGACTATTTCTAGAATGCACTGCTACATGGCATGTATTGCATGGTTTCTGGCAATCTTATAGACACCTTGTTTATAATAAGCACAATGTCTTTATCATAGACAAAATGGCTTCTGTTCTACCATTTTAGTAAACCTTGCTAGTGTAAAATAAGTAGTTGGATCTGTAAGCAGCAACTAAATTGATTTTAAATGCATTGATTCAAAGGGTTACTTTATATTCCATGCTAGATACAATACAAACTTTTCTCTAAACATACATACTTAGGCACATGGAGAAAAGTGATAATTTACTTGTTGTGCATTTATGAAATATACTGTTTCCTAAGAGGTATAATCTCATTCCTGAAATTCTTCAGAATTTGTTCCAAACAGTGGGCAGCCTCCTTCATTAACAATACCTTTTATCTTCTAACCATGTGTATATGAAAAATTATTTCATAAAAGGTCATATTAGTGTTCTCCATCAAACTGAAGTGTACTCAAAGGTATGTGCAATACAAATATATCTTAATTACCAATTAAGAAAGTTGGAAGGCTACTATATTTTCTTGTTCCCACTGTGGCTTTCTAGCTAGTAGGATGAGAAAACATTCCAAATGTACAACAGAAGAAAAAATATTCTTATTTAATTAATTTCCATACTCCACTCTAATCATGCTAGAGTCTTACTCTTGATGAGAGTACTACAAGCCAGGAGAAAAGAGAATCCATGTGCAGACATGTGATGGTTGCTGAAGAGTTTTTAATTTTAAAACACTTCCCTTCATCAAGAATAATCCCCTGCAGCTTCTGTAACTGACTATTTAATATCTAAAATTTTAGATTTCTGGAATTGTGTTAACGTGCATAGGAGTGTCTATTCAAGTGAAGCTCCATGATACTTTCACAGTGTTGGATGATGCAGCTTCAGGGGTTCCTGTGATCATAACAGTTGTTGGCATGCTTATCATCCTTGTATCTACCATTGGGGCAGTTGCTCTACTAAAATGCAACCCTAAGATGATCAAATGGGTAAGTGTTATCCATATTGCAAGTATGATCCAGAGCATCCTTTGCTTAGGGTGTAATCCTTTCCATATTTAGATAGAAGAAAAGTCCTTCAAGTCCCAACATTCCCTAGCTATCATGGCCAGCTTCTTCCTGTGTAAGCATGCATAGGATTGCACTCTTAAGTTTGATAAAGAAAGAAAGACAGAAAGACAGAAAGCTTCAAATGAATCCAAGAGTAACCATCTCAGCTTTATCTAAATCTTGGCTACCACGTTCAGGTCTAAGGGGTGACCAGGTCAGAAGTTGCATGGCTGAATGCTGTTTATGGTTGCAGTATTTCTCCAGAACAGACTCTTGTTGATCAAGAATGTGTATCCAGATGACACAATAGGGAGGTGCTCTCTTGAATTTGCCACCCTGTCCTCTATTTCTGTGTAATAGCCACAGGAAAGATGATGCTAGACAGGCATGAGAAAACAGCATAAAGCAATGAACACATGTAGGATGGTTAAGTATATTCTACATACCAGCAAGAACTGAGCTAGCAATCTTGGACAGCTCAGTTGCCCATCAGGTCCACATAACAATTGTAGAATACCAGTTTTACTATGTAACTAATACAATGGCTGCCTTTAAAGAAAGTTATATATAAACAAACCTTTAGAGGATGTACTGTTCCCATATGAACTAAATTAACTTCAGCGTATAGTTCATAATAAGCTACAAATGCCCCATTTAGGTAGCTGTGCTTCATCTCAGATCCTGGCCCCATGATGATTTGAGGAAAATTACTCCATCTGAGTGCGTGCCTCGTGGTTTTAATGCTGAACATATGCCCCAAAATATGTTGTCTTGGAAGAGAATGTATAAACAGTGGCCACACTCTAACCACAGCAGGTTATTTTACCATATATGGTGCCAGTGGCTCAACTTGGGCACAATCAACCACTTGATTTTGACTATTCCTAATCATGACTTCATCACCTCTGATTTATCTCAGAGTACTGGTGCCAGCAAAAATAAATTAATGTTGATCCTGGCACTATAAATATCTTAGAATCAATTTGGCATGTTAGATGGATTGAAAATTGGAGGGGGACAGGGATGGATAAATTAAGTGAGAAAATAGCAGTACTGTTCTCTACAGATTGTAAATACTTTTCATAGTGCAGTTGTGAGCCTCTTCTTTGAAATTCACTAGCCTTTAAGGTGAAAAAGTCTCTTTCTCTTAGTTCATAGGCTTATTGCTGATACAGTTGATCATCGAAATTGCACTTGGCATGGCTGCCTGCACTTACAGAGAAAAGGTAAGGTTTTTGTCTGGTGGGTGCTTTGTTTTCTAAAGCCTGCATTTTTAAGGAAGAATCAACAATGACTGTAAATAGAATTAGTTCTTCCTTAATTCTTCAAGCCAGGGATATGCAGTTTGTGCCCTCCAAATGTTTCAAGCTCACCACTTCTCCCATCTCTCATCTTTTACTATACTTGCTACAGCTGATGGGAATTGTAGCCCTCTAGGTGGTTTAGTCTGTCAGTTTGCCCCTGTTCTAAGGCAATGAGACCTCTTCTCTCTTCCATTCTCTCTAGGAAAGAGGTGTCTTATTTTCTTTCCAGTCCTATGAAACAATTTGACAGCCATCATATGGTAGCTCAGAGAGTTGTACAGAGATGGCTAATGAAGTCCAGGGCCCTCTCCTTGAGCACAAGTTGCTGCTTCACCGTTGCCTGAGCAAGTGGTCTCTTCACTCAGGATACTTGGCTGGGTGGCTTTCCAAACATTGTCCATGATCCAGGAGGCCACTGCAGTAGAGCAGACCTTGAAGTGGTGGAATCAGCCTTAGCTTTTAACAGCTATTCCTGGCAGTAAGTGGGACTGTAGTTGTTCCTCCAGCTTGGGGAAAGTGGATGCCCATGAGAATAATGTGCCCCTCAGTCAGATGTGCCTGGTAAGCAGGTATACATGATGCTGTTTCACCTATCTGAGCTTACTGTCTGCTGCTCCTGCATATACCCCCTCTGACCAAGCCCAGTATTTTAATGAAATACAATTATTTGGGGCAATCTCCCATAGGGGCTATGGCTATATTTAGATAGCAAAGCTAAGTCTGTACCCTTTATAAAGAGAGGAAGAGATGGTTGCAGGTGGCCAGGGCTAATGGATGAGGAGATGGTTGTGGGTGGTTAAGACTAACACTGCACTACCTGAAGCAGCTGTGATGGTCATGGGGACAGTCTCCTTGCAAGCAGGGCTGGCCCAAGACATTCTCTGCTTGAGGCAGAGCAGCACCCACCCCTGCTTCAAGGTGCATGGTGCCTCTGGCTGGCCAGGATGTTTTGGTTCCCGAGACAGAAAAATCCTTGGATGTGAAAATACAAACATAGGCCTTTAACCTGATCTTACTGTGTTATTAAAGGAATGTGTGGTTGTGAGTCTATTGTTGAGAGAGCTATCTTAAGATCACAGAGAGGTGATCTGGTTTATCAGATCCTAGTTAACAGCAAATATCTGTAGGAGTACTTAATTCTACCCAATGCTTTGTTTCCAGCCTGCTCTGTGTATGTTTGTAAGTGCTACTGTGTTTATACCATCTCCTCTGCAAAATAAATGAATAAATCAAGCTAGCATGCAATATTTTAAAACAATAAGCTGGTGTGATATTACCTAGGCACTGTTTCTTCAGTGTGAGGCACATGGAACTTATTTAGAAACTCAGTGGCTTGAAATAGGGCTGGATCTGGTTGCAGTAGTATTGCCCATTCTTTCTGTGCTTGTTGGTCTCTGCCAACAGGGGACCTTCATGTTATTCTTCTTATAGAAAGTGTGATCCTGAAGTAACACTTGAAAGTATTTACTACTTTAAACAGTATTTGGCATCTGGATTAAAACTTTGGAACTGAACTGAGTTTTTCTTTTAGCTATAATTGTTAGCCTTAAACCACCTGCTGTGCTTTTAAATAAAGAATAAAATCTGAGGAAAACAGTATGAAAATATATGCTTTGGCTGCCTTTTTCAATTAGGTCTAGCCACCTAGCTAAGAAGGCAAATGAGTAAAACCAGAAGCTTTGCACAAACATTATTGCCAGCCATGTTTCAGTGGGGTTTGCAGCCAAACTGAAACTATAGAAAAACTAAAGTGACTCACCCCTGCATGATGTTTCACTGTATCACAGATGGTAATGATTTTCTCATGACATGGTATAAGGTGGCCTTCCATTCCTGCTTCTGGCTCAAAGTGAGAACGTTCATGTTGCCTGTTTGGGATAGCTGATGTGTAAAAGGTGTTAGCAGCTGAGAAGCATTTTAGTTCCCTGTGAACTTGCATGCATGCTAGAATCACTGAAGCTTCTTATGAGCCATGATTTGCATATGCTCATCTCTTTGGATGTTTGACATCAGGTAAAATGTGAGGTAAGAGGCAATCGAGAGGAAGATTTCGTGAGGTAAAGTTTTGAAGGAAAAAGCAATAAATGTGAGGTAAATTTATCAAAGAAAGCAGCTAGGGGAAAGAGAACAGGGCTCCTGCCAAAAATTCCAGGCTTAGCAAGGAGAATCTTCTCAAATGGAGGCACTCTGCAGGCACAGCACCAGTAGGTGTGACCATGAAGGAGGAGGAGGAGATGTTGAAAGTCAGAGCGCTTAAAATTATCTATATTGGCCTTCCTCAAAATGGCCCCCTGCAGGTGTGTCAGACTACAACATGATCATGATTTATGTATGAACCATACAGGCTTAGACTGATGGGAGTTGTAGTCCAAAACATCTGGCGGGCACCAGACTAGGAGGAGGGATGTGCAAAATGCAATTCACGCATAACCTACTGTGGCAGAAATTCTAGTAGGCAGACTAGGTAGACTACTTGCTTATAACCCCCTCAATGGACCTGATAGTTTTGGAGAAAGTGTCTAAGTATGACTAATAGGATAATTAAGTTTTAACAGCCAGCCTTTTGTAGAAATCCTGCCCTTTTGCACTTTGAAATGGTTCTCTTGTCACCATTTTGGTCTGTTCCCCACCCTTGAGCATGTTTTCTTCTGCCTTTGAAAAAGCAAAACAGTATAGATAAATCTCTCTTGTTCAACCCAATCTGTTTATATTGACACAGGTACATCAAACTTTGTTGAAAGATGTCTTGAAGACCTTGGAGAAATATAATGGAGAACTGCAAATCACCAAGGGTGTGGATAGTCTACAGACACAGGTAAAAAGGCTTCCCTCTAAACTTTTACATGTAGAGAACAATCAATGAAACTCAGATTTGAGTTATAGTGAAGCTCAAGAAAAAGAACAGTTTCAGTCTTAATTTTCTGGAATGTAAATTTAGCTAAAGGTTTTGCCAGTTTGTTGGTATGTATTCACTGGCTAGAAAACTCAGAGCTGAAAAGAAGGGTAAGAACTTGGCTTAATCAAGGAGACACAAAATAAGGGCACAGACCTAAATATGATTAGATAGAAAAAGTTCTCATACTTCCAACACGCCCCAGCAAGTCTTCCCAAGCTGTGTCTAACATGTATAGAGCTGCACATGCATGCAAATGGTGGATAGCATGATAGATATGGTTAAATGGAGTCTTGATTTTTTTTTTTTTTGGTAGTCAATCTAGTAAAACCTGCTTCAACTACTTGATAGTAGAATTTAAAAAATGGAAGCATTCCATGGCTTGTGATGGTTTTATCACATCTCCTTCAGTTAATGAGCATGTTAGTAAGGATAGGCTGTAAGAGGTTTTTCTTTCTGACAGTTTTGCTAAGGAGATTAATCTTCACCTGTTAGCACTTTTTCAGGTGGCTCATTCTCAATTATACTTCTTACCAACTAAACTACATTTTCTCCTATCCCATAGTTCCAGTGCTGTGGTGCACAGAATTATACTGACTGGTTAAACACAACGTTTGGGTCCCTCTCTTCATCTGTCCCAAGGAGTTGCTGTAAAGTACCTGTGGAAAGCTGTGTAACAGATCTAAGCAAAGATACATTAGGCATTAACAAGAAGGTACATCCCATATGGTTGTGAAATGTGTATTTTATGAGTTATATATAGTTTTCCTGGTGGTACAACTGTAGGGTGGAGAGACTTCTGATCCATCTTTAGCTTTGTGTTGGCCATGTATGAACTCTATATAGGTACTGTTGCAAGAGTAGAATAGCAGGAAGAGTAGGAGTGTACTTCTTTCAAAGGTGTGTTCTTGTGAATGTGTGCACAATCAGAGACATAGGGTACTTTTGTAATGTCAGTGCATGCACAGAGTATTGAAGCCACAGCAGGTAGAAGTTTTTGCCAGCTCTTCCCAGAAATCTGGCTGTGTCCAGATTCCAAATGCTGCTGCTACCCACATGCTTATCTCCCACTGTGGAAATATAATCTCCCCATCAGCCATTTCTTGAATATTTATTGTTTCTGTGCTGCCCCATAGTGAAGGCTCCCTGGACAGTTCACAGAGTCCATAAAAAGTTAAAAATAGAATAAAAATATCAAAATCAGAATATTAAAGTTGAAAACAGCTAAAACAGATAGTAAAAACAGACAATAACAAGGAGTAACAAAAAAAAAAAGCAATTCTGCAAAACACCTGGATTTTTAAAGTGGATTCCTTGCTAATTCTTCACACTCAAGAAGAACATGTATGTTGCAGTAATACTGAGATTAATTATTAGAAAATTGCAGACATGTGCTGCTTTGGTAGCAGTCTTCAGAAGTGATCTTGGAAGGAGAAGCATCAGGTCAAAATATCAATGATAGCTTGCCTTGCTCAATAAGGGCTTCAAAGACAAAGGTCTCCATTGTCTAGGAAAGTATGAATACATAGTCCTAGTTTTAGTCTGGTGCCTGCAAAAGTTTCTCAGTCCTGCGGAATGTTAAGAACTTCCAAGCTATCTTTGACATTGCCTTCTACAGTAACTGAGATTAGAAATGCCCATTTCCCAGCAAGGATCAGCATGTATTTGTACGTTCTTGTTACTTTTGTGACTTCTCATTTTGTTTGTTCTTGACATTGAAAAAATTGGAGCCTTTCCTGTTTCTGCTTCTTTCCATGCCAAGAAAATCAGCACCCAGTGAATTTTTCTATTGGTCAATTGTTGCATGAGTTCTGTGGGGGTAGGAAGGATCTATCTTTACCCTTTGTGACAGCCTGCTTAACTTCTGCTTCTAGAAGGTTACTGGGGGGAGCATGATCTGGCAGAAACAGGAATGTTGAAGAGTGGAGTGCTTGGATTTCATGAAAAACCCTAATTTTCTTTCATAGTTTAAGCATTACTGTCAACACAGTTGTTAAAAAAAATCAAAACTTGTGTTTAAAAGTGGGGAAATTGGGCCTTCAAATTGAAATGCATTTAGAATTTTGAACAAAGCTAAAAATAGTTTCTTCACTCTAATTGTGGTTCACAATGCTTGATATCTGAGTTTGTTGGTGGATTATGAGAAAAATGCAGCTATTAAAATGTAAGGTTTTTTCCATTATCAGGGATGCGTTCTAAAACTGAAGAACTGGGTTGAAGAACACATTACTATATTTGGAGGAATTGCGATGTTTGTTGGACTTGCTCAGGTAGTAATACGGAGGAGAAAGTACATTGCTCAGTTTGCATATTGGTACAAACTTGCCAAATTCACACTTCCCAAAACATTATGCAAACTGGAATGCAGTTGTCCTTCAGTATTTATACTTCTCCTGATGTGCAGCTTTTGAACAAAAATTACACACAGTTATGCATAAATCAGTGAACAATGTATACAAACTTGCCAAGTAGTAGGCAAATGTGTATTAAAATGCTTATATTGATAGAGACACATGCCAAAAAATGATACAAATTTCAGCTTAGTTGTCTTAAACTAAAACCTGAAAACTCATGAGACCTAACAGAAGGCTGGACAAAAGGAAATCTGAAATTAATACAGATTCACCCATCCCTAAGTATAAGGTGCTGGATGGCTGAAGGCACACAAATACTCAAGCCAGGCCATTGAAAATTCAGAAAACTAGAACTGGCAATTAATTGCATTTTAATTTGTTAATGTTTTTCTAATGCATTCTGATTTTCTCCAAATGTGTTAAGACTACAGTGTCCTCTATCGCTAGTTGACTGGGGATTGGGAGCAAAGTAGTCCAGTACATCTGGAGGTTACCAGGCTGGGGAAGGCTATTCTATGTTGGGTCCTGCCTTGCACAATTGGTGGCCCTGTTGTGATGTAGTCCATTGTTAAATCAGAACTAATCCACATTAGAAACATCTCACTGGAATGGAGTTGGGTCAAATGAATTCAAACCTAACCTTTTAATGTGTTCTGTTTTCCTACCAGCTAACTGGGATCCTGTTTTGTTATCTGCTGCTGAAACTATTAAAAGAAAACTATACGAGTATCGAGTAAATTAAAGAAGCTGATGCAAATTTTATGGAAAGAATTGGAAGGCAACATTTACACTGTTCTCACTGTCTTGCTGATTGTTACGTACAAATAAAATACATCACTCTAATCAATGATTTTTCTTCCTGAAAGGCAATGGCAGAAACCTGCTTGCAGAAAAATGCCTGCTTTTAAGAGCAATATATCAGTTTCAGATGCAACTCTGTGCTGGGAATTGTAGGACATTCTCCTGTTTCCACATCCATCCTTAGGTGACTTTCCCCACCCCCAAGCTCTTGCCTCTGAGAAATGTTGCAGATGGTGATTCTGGGGGTGCTTCACTTCCTGAAAACAACACCTCCTTTAGCATCACTTCACTGAAGAAATTTTGAAACAAAGTACTTGTAAAACACCTATTCTGTGGTCCTATACATGCTTGCTTGAAAGTGAGTCCAATTGGATTTAGTAAAGCTTGCTCCCAGATAAGCCTACATTATAGCAAGTACAGCAGTAGTATTTAAAAAAGGGATTCACAAACCTAGGCAGACATAAACAGACATACTACCATATCTACTGGCATGTAAGGCTACTCATAAGACGGTCAGTCTTTTGGCCTGTTTATGTATGTTGAACATATAAGATGCGTCCCATTTTTGCTTTGCCATTTTCAGTTTTAAGGGTCACCTTATAGGCCAGTATATGGCAATTATCAGAATAATTCCTAGCTGATCAGGTGAATGCAAGAGATGCTTCTAAGTTATTCTGGGTTCTTTGCAAGAGGAAGATAGGTGGGCTATGAATATAATTTTTTATTAAGCAGTTGTGGTTTGGCGATCCTTATAATGAACTCCATTGACATAAAAAGGCAGAACAGAAAGTGCTGTGAATGGATATAATTTTTATTTTTTGGATGGGCAGAAGTTCTATTGTGAAATGTGCATAACTTTTGGATGGACAACGGTAATCGCAGGTGGAGACAATGCAAAACTGGGAAAGGTAAAGAACAGAGCTAAAACTCAAGCTGTATTCATTGTATTAGAATAAAATATGGCTTTCACTGGGGCCAGTCATACTAATGTGATGCAAACTTGAGTTACACAACTTCTAAAGGTTTCTGAAATAGGTATGTCTTAAACCGTCTTTCCCCCAACTCAGTTTTGCACATTTGTGTAACACAGAAAGCTTGCAAGTTGCATTGTCAACATGAGTCCCCATAAAAACTGAGATCCTTCAAATCTCCAGAATAGTTGATTTGAATAGTTGACCATCTTTCCGGGCACGGGGTTCAAATCCAGAGTCTAGTTTGCTATTTTATTGCAGCAAGTTATTTTGAGAATCCCTGGAAGTGGGAGCATCAAGGTGGAAAAGACAGCTGGTGGTTAAGAGACTGTTCCACCTCCAGTTTAACCTCTATGTAGCCACTTCCTGTGGTCATTCACAGCCATTACATAGCATGAAGGACAGAACTACACCACTGAGTATTTCATACCACTGATCCATGGTACACTGCTGCTATTCCAATCATTGCAACTTTAGAGAAATGCCCAAGATTAGCTGCTTTTAAGGAAGCCAGAACAAAACAAATTCCTTTATCACAGGCATAGCCTATAGTTATTTTGGAAAAGCACAGAACAGCATTATCCATTATCTGACCCAGTTCTTAAGATGACAAAGTAATAACATATTTGGGTTTTGAGGTACTAGAAGTTAGCTTTCCACCAGTGTATCCAGACCCCACCCCACAAAAAAATGCAGACTAGACATCTTAAGTTTCATTTAGCTATCATTCTTTCTAGGAATGGGTGAGTACCTCCTTGCTTAACTGAAAATACCAGAGGCTCAAGTGCTTAGAACAAGTCATAAGCTTGACCGGATTTTAATTGTATTTTGTGCCATATATATATTTATTTATGTGAGCCGTCCCGAGGCTATAAGCGATGGGACGGCATACAAAAACTCTAAATAAACTCAGATAAATTGGGTGCTTGATTTGAACACCTGTTTTGACAAGCCTCTGTGCATCTTTTGCTCCTTGCCACTTCCCTCATGCTCAAGCAAAATATTACATTGAAACATGTGTACCTGTGTGTGCCCACAGATCCTTAGGAGACACTATTGCTTACTTGCATTATGAAAACTATTCATTTAACAGTTTCTTTCCTTTGACAAGTTATTAATAATCCATGACATCCTCTTATTTCATTCATTATGACTGAATTTATTCAAGAGTCTTTGATGGAGAAGTTGGTCAAAATCTCTTTGGAGGCCCAAGAGAAATGTTATAATAATAATAATAATAATAATAATAATAATAATAATAATAATAATAATAATAGAGCTGCTGGGAATGAAATTATGCTCAGATACGACATTCTGCATCTCTGCCCATCTCTGTTCTAAAGCTAGCTGTTGCACCTTAGCTCTGCTATGTATGTAAGAACTAGCCTGGTAGCCCCTGCACAAGTGAGTAGGTAGGCTGGTGGGGAGAGGGCACTGTTCCCTCTGCACTAGCAGAGCAGGCAAATGGGCCGCCCAGTTAGAGTTCTCTTCCCTGCACACAGCACAGAAATACAGCTCTCCACCTCTCCTCTGCCAGGCTGGCAAATCTCTTGTCTACCTTAGCAATTATGGGGGCCTTGGTGAACCAAGTCTGGTGAGGGTTTACTCTGGTTTGGGGATGGTGTCTACACATGTGATGTGTCTATGCATGTGATGAGTGCAGTTCTGCATTTTGGGCAAAGTGGAAACAACTTTGTGTATTCCATCTGCTTCGTGATCTTTCCCCAGACTTTAGATGAAGAAAAATCAGATTCTTACCTTCTCCACTGTAAACACTGTCTTGCTTGCCACAGTATGACTCATTCCTCCCTCATCAATAAGGATTACCCTTATTTTGGCAGTGACACTCCAAGGATGCCTTCCTTCACTAACATGCATTTTCCTCCAGAAACGCAGGGACCCAGAGGGAACACAGGGGTTTACAAAGGGAACATGGCTGCAGTAATGCCAATCACAAGTCCTAGACTGAACCCTTGTCCCTTACATCCAAGTGTTCCATTTTTGAGAGGGAAGCATTCAGACTCACCATTGGAAGTACAGCCAAAGATCTGCTGCTTGACTCTGCAGCAAGTATGAACTGCATCCTTGTTACTACTGGATTGAGAATCGCTGGAAAGGTGCTGTTGAAGATGTGCTCTTACAGCCTAGCAGTGGGAGTTCTGTGGATGGCATTGATGAACATGCAAGGAGTTCTCTAGAGGCAGAGACTGATGGGCTCACTAGCAGGGCTGAACATCTTGGGGTGCAATCTAGTTTCTAGCACGCCCCAGCCAGCAGTGGTATGTGGGGAATGCTGGAAACGAAGACGTTTTCTATCTAAGCATCCTTAGGATTGCATCCTTAATGTTTGCACTTTGGAAAAATAAGTATCTTGTGATAATCAGTAAGGAAATCCTATAGAAAAGTAGTTCTATATAACATCAAGTCTTTTATCTTTATTAGAATAGCTAATTTCTTTAAATTCTAAAATTAAAACTTACAGGCATATTTCAGATCTATGCTTGATTTTTTTTGTAATCAAAGACCTTTTTCAGTAAGAAAATAAGTTAAATTTTACGTCAACTATTCAAGTGACAGTCACATACAAAAACAGTACCAAGTTATTATAAATAATTTGGTTGTCAAGAAAAGCATGTCTTCACAGCCTGTCCTGTGGAAATGTATTTAAGGACTCATTTTTTTTTCCAAACTACTCTGCAAAGTCTTTTGCAATCTAGCTATGTTGGCATCCAAAGCTGCCAGACCATTTTTGAAGTCTTCTTCATCTCTGGATGTGAATGTTGAAAGGGATGATATAGTCCATTCAGATTTTCCTGACATCCAGTCAAAAGTTGAAAAACTGGAGTTTGGAGCTGACATTCCAGTGCCTTTCTTCTGTACGTCTCCTTTCTGATGTGAAATAGGAGCACAGAGGAATTTATCAGGCTGAAGTCTGTCTGGATTGTCCAAAATCACTTTAGCAGCTCCGTTTGTTATTTCTTTTGGCTGCATTTGATGCTTCTTGCCTTCCAGCTCTGCTATCCTCTCCATCATTTCAGAGTTATTTTCAAAAGCATTCTTTGGACTATGGCTACCATAGAATTTATCACAGGCCTTTGCATTGCCCAGCATCCTAAGCCCATCTGGTTGCTCAGAAGCACCCAACCGAGAGCTATGGTCCAGTGTCTGGGGAATTGGATGGTGTGTGTTTGTCCTCCTTTCAGTAACTGTCGCCGGCTTCCAAGATGGACTGTGACTTAGTGGAATGTAAATAGGCTCATTTGGCTCATGCCCTTCTACTGAAGCACTTGAGTTGCTGGCTGCTACAACATCAGGCTTTAGAAAGCTAAAAACCTTCCTTGGAGCTGCTGTTTCCTCTGCAACAGTGTTTCTTTGAGGAGGCTGTTCAGCTCCCTTCATCTTAGGCACTTGATTTGGTTCCTTTATTTCAGGCTTTGACAAGGGAGGCTTTGCACTGAACAGAACAGGATCTGTCTCTAATTTCTTGAGGTAGTTCATTATGGAATCACTTAGAGGGTATGCATCATGCTGCAGCTGGTTCTCATGAATTTCCAGGGCAGCTTTTGATAGACCCCTTTCCTGCTTGGGTTTAGCAGTGCCCACAGTGAGGTCTGAGAGAAGTTTGGACATACTGCCCTGGAGAGCCCTGTTAAGAACAGTTCAGCAGTTTAAGTTTAATTAGGAAAACAAGATAGAACCCCAAAACAGTGTATATTTTTTCCAAATTGCTAGGTTCAGTACTTTACTCACAGCCTACTTTTTTGGACTTAATTCAGAGTACACAACTGCATAATTGGGCTGCCAGCCTCCTTCAGGAGACAGCCCACCTTGCTATCCAAATGTTCAAGGTATCCAAATGTCTCCCTTGATAGAACTAAGTGCTCTGATACTACAGAATTTTCAGAACTTTTTCATCATACTTATGCTGAGCTTCAAGACAATTGAAGTAGTTAATGGCATGATCGTATCCATATTAGAACAGAAACAAGTCCTAAACTTCCCAGCATTACAGAGCCAGACCACACCAGGAGACACGTTCATAAGATTAGTTTTCCAAACTACCATTATAGGATGGTAGAATATTATTTGATGGTCTTATAAGAAAACAAACACATCTACCCTACTTCTACTAAATTAAAGGGGAAAATATGCATACAAAGAACACCCTGTTCCCACATCCTGTACTACACTTCCGGCATGAGTAAGGCCATTGCTCAATGGCTACACCCCAAGCCATTTCCATGTTGTTCTATCTGTCATGGCTTCAGAGAAAAAGCAAATACCACAGTCGAGGGAGAACAAGAGGAGAAAAAGAAAAGCTCATATATTCTATCTGATTGTGCTGTTTACAGACACTCCAGAGGCATACTGGTTAGAGACACAAAGCAACAGCTTAGACATGTTGAACTATTAGTGAAGAGGGCTTGAGAAGAGGATCCTAGATCAGCACAATGTTGTCAGTGGGCTCCATGGGGCAAAAGCAAATTGCCTGCTACCAAGGCAGCTGGGACAGGGGGGAAAACTACCCACCCTTTGGCAAAAATCGGGGAGGAAGGGCAGTATCCTTCCTATAGGCCCTGACTAGAAATAGTACCAGCAAGCCAAGATAAGAGAATTGGTCTCGCACCATCCTGGAAAGGGAAGCTCATTCCAATGCCTACTTCTGGGAAGGGGGCAGCCTCCACAGCAGGGGTGGGCAACTTGTGGCCATTGAGCTATTGTAACCTGTGGGTTATTCAACTCAGTTAAACCATGGTTTAGACTGCATTTGAGCAGTGATGAGCCATGGGTTTTTGGCCTCCCTTCCCTGGTTTGTGAGAGGAACACAGAAAAGCAATTTTAAAACATTTGGAAAGGTACAAGTTAGTGATCCCTGTTCTACTGAGGTGAGATAGTGCAATTGGTAACTGTGGAAGCAAGGACCTTCACCCTGCCATCATAATAAATAGCAGTTGCCTGTATTCCAGAACACTAGCAGTGATTCAACTTACTTAGCACCACTTTCCCGGACACTCAAGATACTGCTAAGCAAACTTTAAAACCTGCATCCAAAATGCCACCCATGTCACACTCTTACTTTAGCGAAGTTAAAATCCTGCTGATTTGCTACTTGGGGAATGGCCTAGCATGTGATGCTGAGCCTAGCCCTGCTGCTCCCCCTCCTGAAGAATTGAAGGATCACGTTTGCACTCTTTGAATTTCCATGGGTACTGCTTCCACTTTTTGGATCAGAAAAGTCCTCCTTCCATGTATTATAATATAGTCCTCTGAGCAGACTGGACAATCAGTATAGGAAATAAGGAAATGAGCTAAAATTGAAAATGCAATAGCTTTCATCTAACTGGCAACTGTAAAGGCTTGTTTTCCTTGCCAGGAAAACAGATTTCAATTCAATACATGATCAACCACCACCACCTGGTGGCTACCCACTACACTCACAAGACAAGATTTTACACTACCAAGTATTCTGGATAAAATTATCAACCTTTTGTAAAGGTATTTCATATTACTAGCTGTTCCAGAACAGCTGTGTCCTCTTCAGTCAGTGATCAAGCAACAATAGTTTCTATCCCACATGGTGTCAGTGGACTGCCATTTGCACAATGGGATTTACTTTCCATCTTCCCCCCTGCAGCTCTTCCAGATGGTGCCCCCCCCCCCAGCAGTGGCCATTCCACTGGTAGACAGACACAGCTGGATACAACCTGATCATACAATCAGCTGCTGGATGTCCTGTCATCCCAGCAGTTCTATGTGCAAACTGAAACCTGCACAACAGTTTGCAGAGGCTAATTTGAATGTCTGCAACCTATTCTCGCACTTTATCTTAAGACTGGCTAAAGGCAGACTCAATGGCTTCAACATAGGGAGGGCTGTGGCTCCATGTTAAGGAACATGCTTTGCATGTAGAAATCCCTCAGTTTAATCTTTGGCATCTCCAGGTAAAACAAGGGAAAAAATCTTGTCTGAAACCCAGGAGAGCTGCTGCCAGTCAACATGGAGAATACTGGACCAGACGAATGGAGGGTCTTGCTCAGGGTAAGGCTACTTTCAGTGTTGCTAATAAGAGCTAACGGTCTTCCTCCCCCACTGCTCCTGCTTTAGCACTGAGCCTAAAGAAGAGCTTGCATACTACGTTGTGCTACTGTGGCTGGCCCAATTAAGATATTGCCCTATTATGGATTTAGGCATGACCAGCATGGCTACTTCTGCTTCCCACCCTTTATTCAACAGTATTTTTTAAAACAGCTGAAATAAGTCTGTTTATTAAGTCTTCCAGGTCTGATTAAACTTGTCTGATTCCAACATCTGGAAGTAACTTAGCCAAGTTCCTTTATGTGCATTTGTTCCCACTGTCTCTTTTTATGCAATTTCTTTTATTTAAGATGTCACTCTCATGAATATCTTAAATAAACTGGATTCTTGAAATAAAAAAGAAGAAAGAGCTTTCTGGGAAGGTCTTCCAGAACCATTCATTATAGAAGGAAAATAAGTACATCATGCATCTTTTCTGTCCTGACAAACTTGGGTCTGAGTTATTAGATGATTTATTGGCTGACAAAGCTACGCTATGCCCAGAATGGTTCCTCACCCTGGTATCAGCCTTCAAGCCAATCAAATTTCAAGAAACAGCACACTCATTTCAAACAAGTGGAAAATTCTTAGCTAGGAGTGTCTGTGTGCATATTTTACAGCAGCAAAGTGATAAGACCAAGGTAATCTTGCCGAGCTCAAATGGTACAAATTGGTTTCTCCTGTATCAATGTGGTCCTTACTCCAAAGACAAAGAGTACAGTGAAATTAGCAAGTGACCTCAACATTTGGCTACAATTTTCAACTTTTTCTTCTATGTCCCTTTGACAATGTGAGAACCTTATGGTACAATCCAGGAAATCCTACGTTTTAAAATTCTACCCAAATGTTTTGTATGTCTTTGACCCTTTTAAGTGCAAGAACATCCAATTTGACTCATCAGTGTCAGATGGATCCATTTAGTTTCAGAAATATATAGATTTAAGTTAAAATAAACAATCTACTATTATACATTCTGTAAACTCCTTTCCCAGCTCATTTTTTGGGGGATTTTCCATCATAGCTAGTAAATGAATATGCCCTGCAATTTTCAATTCTAAATGTCCAGCTGGGCCTAACATTTTGCTACATGCAGTGGCCTAAAACTGGGACAGTCAGGAGAAAGAAAGCAAAGGCAATATTACCTAGTCAATTCACAGAGTCTGTTCACTTCTGCATCTCGCTGACGTAAAGTTATGACCAAAATCTGGTTTTCTTTCTCAGCAGATTCCAATTTATACTGAAAATTCCTCTTGTCAGCCAACAGCTCATCTATTTCTGCAACATAAAATGGAAATCTTATTTTCCATGATTATTTATTAAAATATTGTGTATCATCTGTTATGTGTAATGTACAGTTTATAGTGGTATGATACAATACAAATATAAATCATTTAAACAATTAGCTATAGCATAAAATGAGCAGCTGTGAATTAGAAAAATCATAAAGTGTCAAAAATGCTGCAGTGAACAAAAAGTCCTCTTTCTCTTTCACTAGACGGACATTTGTAGTACCACCAGGAAGGCCTCTGATGATCACTGCTGTCAGGCAGATCTATATGAAAGAAGGATTTCTTTCAAACAGCCAATTTCCAAGTTGTTTAGGACTTTGTAGATTAATACCAAAACCTTAAATCCAGCCCTGTAACCATCTAGCAGCCAGTACAATTCTTCTTGCAATGCTGTTATATACCAGTCACTTGCTACATCACACAATATAGAATAGTAGAGTTGGAAATGGCATATAAGGCCATTGAGTCCAATGGCAATCTTGCTGCTGTACTCTGCGCCAGCTGTGCCTTCTGGACTATGCTTAAGAGGAACTCTGAATGATGCGAGGTATAGCAGCTGAGACATGAGGCTACCTGAAAGGCCATCTAAAAATAATTTTAGATAAAATGTACAGTCATGGTTGAAAATTTCTCTTCAGCATTGGCTTATGTTGGCTAACCAGCCAAAGCTCGTACAAAGCAGTTTGTCCCTGCGGCCTCTTGGGCCTCCAGGGATAGTGACAGTTCTGTAAATATCCTCATGCACTACGTACCTTCTTCAGAGGAAGTGCAATCTTGTCCAGAGTAGGCAACCTGCCTGATTCCTGGACCCAGTCATGCACAAGGCCACTGCCCAACCATGATTCAGTCTCAGTTTAATGGCAGTGCAGCCTATCACTGCTTTTAATCACCAGGTTAGACATGCATGGTTTCTCCCAATTCAGGTTTAACACAGAACTAGAGCTCTTCAAATATCCTGATAATAGCGCCTAACACCACATGGTCACTATACAGATGCTGAACAACACTGGGGGCAGGATGATACCCTGTGGTACTCTCTTGCAAAAATAGCCACCCCATGCAGGGCCGTCTTAACGCATGGGCCTGATGGGCACTTGCCCATGGGCCCCATACTAATCTGTGTATGTTAACCCTTAGAAATTGGAAAACTTCCAAAATTAACAGTAGTTGTAGTTGTCCTAGGGGCCCCAGTACACTGCTTTGCCTGGGGCCCATAATGCTGTTAAGACGGCCCTGACCCCCATGCTATTCAAAGTAATTAGCCTTACATCAAAGACTGGAGTCAATGTAAAATGGTGCCTCCTACTCCAAACACCTGTAGGATATTGTGATCATAAATAACAAAGGATACTGAAGACTCAAGCAAGAGCAACAAAATTGCATTCCCTTTGTTCCTCTCCAGATCAGTGATCAGGGTGACCAAGGCCAATTCATTCCCAAAACTGGTCTATGCCCAGAATGAATTACTTGTAGAAATTGTGGCTTCTTTGTGAGTGCCTGAACTTTGGGGAAGATATACACTTGTCTTGTGTATCTTCCCCAAGGAGAACAGGGCAAGCAGGCAACAGCTTCCCAGTACGTCTGGCTCTAAAACAGATTTCTTCAGTAGCTGGAAGATGACCTCGTTGATGCAGTGAGCACAACCTTCTCACACACTGTAGCCCCAGGCCACCATCCCTCCACTGGCTCTATTAGCCATGAGCAGCAGGGGTCGAGCAATGAGCACCTAGTCCTCATCCTCAGGTTGCAGCAGCTCAAGCTGAACCCATAAAACCAGCACAGTGTTACATCACCACACTCAAGTCTGTAAGAAACTTGGTATCCAAGTCAATATGCTGAATGAACAAATGTTGTAGCCCAAACAGGCCATACACACACCAATTTTGAGCTTGGCTAAGCCATTATCATAATGCTGTCTCTTTTCAAGCAGATCTTTTTCTTTCTCGTGGATTATTCTGGTCAGTCTTTTGTTTTCTTCTTTTTGGCTTTCTGAGATTTGTATGAGCTCTTCATTTTTATTCTGCAGCAACTCAATGCTTTGCATACATTCATTCAATTCACTCTTCAGTGTCAGATTCAAAGCCTGGAGAGAAATCACTATAGAAGGAAAACACATAGTTGTTTTAAAGACAAGTTCAATTATGTGGACAAATATTTGATCATTATGACAGCACACCCTCATAATTGTTAGAACTGATTACTCCAATAGATCCTTACTTGAGGTTGTCCTTGGAGAAAGTCTAGATGTTCTAGCCAGTGCAGAAGGTTGCAATACCCCTTATGGGAACACATAAGAGCTGTTCTCTAAAGTAGCTGGCTTGTCATGAGAAAATACCTTGGGGATTTTTTTCCATGGGGATTCTTAGTGGGGCAGCAGCTACTCTATTGAACATTTGGGGTCTGTTGGGTTACACCATAGCTTCATTCTCTGTGAACTCGGCATGGGTGGGTTGTTTGCTGCCTAGCTCATTTTTTCTCCAAAATTCAGTAGTGAGAAACACTTCCATATGCATGAAAATTTAAATTTTAAGAGCAACTAATGCAATGATTTTCATGGTGAAGCAAATGCTTCATTCTAATATCTTGAATCAGAATGCTGCAGTGGCATGACTTAATATAAAACAGCATAACAAGGCAAAAGACTGTGATCAGCAATTCCATTATTTTAATAAACTGGGCAGATATTTTGAGACTCCAAAAAAGCTTTATGTAATGTATTAAGTAGTGTATATAATCTGTAGGTACAATATAAAAATTGTTGGGATATAGTACTGGCTAATCTGTATCCAACAATATAGACAACTAATCTTTGCTGAATTTATTAAAAGAACGCCTAGCATCTCTACACAAAAGCAAACTGAAAAAGCGCATTAGTGTATCATGGGTACCACTGCAGGTCACAACTGTGACTGCTAGTTTAATATAGTGGTTAGATTGTTGGACCAGAACTGCAGAGACCTTAGTTCAAATCCCCACTGAGTGACCCTGGGAACCAATCATTTTTGTTACACTAATCACATTGGTGGGGTGAAGAGGGTAGGGCAGAAAAGAACCCTACATATGTCCTTGATAGAAGTGCAATTAATAAATACAACTATGGAGTTCAAATCCACACAAAGCCATAGAGTTTCCAGATAGGTGTCCCTGCAAGACTGGGTTCTCCATCCATGACATTAGCAGTTATGCATCCTAGAGTGGCAATGTGACAGAATGGATAAAGATGCTGTATTGCATAAGTACTTAGGGAAAAATGCTTCCTGAATTGTTAGAAGACTATAATAACTTCTCAAGTTCTGTTGCATAGATTTAAATCTTTTTCACCTTGCTACAACAACAACTTACATTCAAAGTTGCTATCCGGATGACATTCCTTTTCAGCCCTCTCTTGATGTTTGAGCTGCTGATTCAATATTCTTAACCGCCTATGTGTTAATGAGGGGGGAAATGCATTTAGAAAACTATTTTCCATAGCAAAATTGGATTAATTTGGTGTGGAAAAGCTAAAACACACTTTCTTTCTCAATTTGACAAAGATTCTCAGTCCATGGCACATCTGGAGACAGGTCTGTATTCTCTAAGAAATACTTTTGGGCACAGGGATTATTGCTTGGGAATATTGGCCCATATCCATTAAAGACCATGCTGAAATACAGAAAGCCCTAAGCACAAAAATTAACATTAAACAACTGAATCCTGGTTGTTACTGAGATGGCAATTTCTAATTGTAATGGTGTTATCACTGTTGATTATACCAAAATCAGCAGAAATGATCAAGTTGTATACAATCCAACAGTGATGTGGTGCATATTCACAGTGATCATGCTTATTAGCACTGGCATACCAGCCATTAATACTAGACTGCAGGACTAAGAGCATACCCGAAAATTCTGTGTGGACTCGCAGCTCAGCACTAATCAGGCTAAATGGAATCCTGTTGCCCACTAATTCTCAATTCTCCTCTGAAATTCACCAAGTGAGAGGACGTTTATGCAGGAACGTTCTCTCTCCACCTTCCATCCCCTACCTTCAGTCAGAAATTACTGGTGTAGAAATGGGGCTGTGCATACGAGAGGAGGGACTCTGGACAGTTATCACTCTCCAGTTAAAGCAAAAGAGACAACACTAGAAGAGCATGGCATTCCACCCAAGTTAAAACTCCTACATCCTTCTTAATCATATTAGTTGCATATTTAATGAAGATTTTGGTCAAGTTCAGACAACTTAATGCATTGTGCTTCTGCTTCACATACTGATAAGGCAGCAATATATAAATATCAATGTATCTATCCCTTGAACAAATACAGAATCCTGACATAAATGCATTTAATCATTTGCTTATCCTTTCTTAATTGTTTCAAGCTGCAGTCTAAAGTACCAACACTGTAGCCTTAAGTCAGATGTTTCTCACATACACACTACTAACCTGCGCAACTGAGCATTTTCACTTCTGAGAGGTTGAAGAGCAAGTGCTATTTCAGCTTGCACATTTGTACTTCCAACTGCTGCAGGGAAGAGTGATACGGTGTCTTCTACTTCATCTAACAGTCTTAAAATGTCTGAATCATCTACAAGACGAAAATAAATCTGATGCCACACACACACATACACACTTCAGAATGTGTAATTGTGGAAAATTAACCAGTATTCCTGGAAAGGCTACTGAGTGTACTGTCTAGTCCTCCAAATTATGAAACACCTCTAAATCAGCTTCTGTATGGTGCAGTACAAGACCAGGCCCTTTCTTCCAAATGTGCCCTTCAAGGATAGGACTCTAGCAGAGCTAACAAATTTTATTTTGCCTCTTGCAACCCTACCACAGAACTCAACACAGGTGGATAACATGTGGCTGGTGAGGTACATGCATTGCTCAACTGCTTTTGGGGAAGAGCTGCCCCTGCTGCCAATTTGCAACTGTGGAACCTTCTCCCCCATGATTTTACTACAAATCAAGGCATGTAAGGAGAGTGTACCTTGTCTGGAAGCAGATTCATGATCCCAGAAATCTCCCTGTAACAGAATGATCACATAGCTAGTGGAGAATTCTAGGAGTTATGGGGCTTTTTTCTATCTAAACATGCATAGGATTCTGGTCTCGTTTGATCAGGGTGAAGCAAGATAGGAAAGTAACTAAATATTATTTACATATTCTCACCAGTTTTTTTTTCAAGACGTCACATTTAACCCCACCATCACAAATCATTATGTACTATCAAGTCATCTCTACTTTATGGCAACCCCATGAATGAATGCCTTCTAAAACACCCTTGTCCATAAAAGCCCGGCTCAACTCCTGTAACACTATCACAAATATACACCACAAGTTCTGCCAAAAGCATTTACAATTGAGTGATCTGGAGTGGATACCCTGATCAAGGAAGAACCTACCAAAGAAATATCAGATTTTAAAAGCTTAGTTTGCATTGCTATATTGGTGTTGTATTATGCATTTTTGTGAAGAAATAGCACTATGCAGTCATATTTAGATTGTGAGTATTGGAAATATCTCCAACTCATATCAATAAAGCTCTGTGCAGAGGAAAGGTCACAGTGCATTACTGACCATTGTTAAGCCTTCAAACAGAGACTTAACAGACACAGATGCAAACCATGCTTTACTTTGGCTTTGCTGCACTGGTATTCAATTTTGTCAATTCTATATAAGTATCAACCCATCACAGCATAAACAGAAAGTCTGTATTACCATGATCAGTTAGCAGGGCCTTGAGTTCCCCCAAAAGATACTTCACTGTTTTCAGTTTTTGAGATGTTTTTTGCTGGCTTGGTTTTTTAGGCTTTAAAACATCCTTGTCGAAACTAGTCTGACAACTTGTATCTTTCACTGGTGCCACATCAACTCCATTCAAGTCCTCTTCTTCACTAACAGTACCCTCACTGTATTCATCAGCAGTTTCTTCTCTGGAATTCAAGGGCTTGGGTTGTATTGGATCAGCGCCATGGTCTTTTTCATTAGACTTCCCACTCTCCTTTTCATGTGTTTGCAACAGAGCCAGGTGTGCCTGAATACGCTGTATTAGGTCTGTTTCTTTTTGCTGTGGGTCATGGATTCCTTGGTCTGACAAAGCCTCTCTACTAGCAGGTGGAGCAAGAACTGTAGAGGGTGTTGGGCCATTGGGACCTGGCTGAGTTAAATGGGGAAGAACTGAACATGAAACCACTGGCTGTAGTTGTGGAGCAGAAGTGGAAGCACTGGAGCCTGCTGGCAAAAGAACAGGTCCGGCTTGTGATCCACACTGGCTGCAGTTGTCCATGGAAACACCCTATAACAAGGAAACACAAATAATTGCTTCAACACTGAAATCTTACTCTTGCATATTTACAAATAATGTAGGTATCAGTTAATTTGTATGGGTCAATTACACCTCGTGAAGTGTCCCCTATAAAGTACAAACCCCCAGAGTGTCCTCACCTCCTTCTTACACTACAGGACTGAGCTTAGGACTGCTGCAGTTCTGTGTTCCTAGAGCTTGGAGCCCCGGCTCATCACAGGGTAGGAATGAGGACTGACAATCCCTCCACTTACAATACAGCTAATTATTACCATGAATTTGACAGCTCCTTTGAGGCTTTCTTAACAAACTCCTTTGTTCTGTTAGCCTTCTTCCTACTCTCTCTTTTCCACCAAGGTCTGAGATTAATAAATTCTTTCCTGTAATTTAGTCGTCTCTGCTTTCCCAACCTTGCCTATTCATGTCAGGAAGGCTTGATTTCAGCCAGCTAGCTGGCATTGGCAATATACCAACACAAAGCACCCCATTTATCAGGATTTTCATACAGCCTAAACTTAAATATTGTGCTTCTAGAACTTCCACCCCTGTGATAGACAGGAACAGCTCCTTCCTACTTCTAAAACATACTTTAGATAGGTGAAAGATTTGGCAAACTGTAGCTTAATAGCATGGTTCTAAGGAGACCATTTAACAGATGCCCGATGCCAAAAGATTAGGTGAATTTGACAGTATTCTAGGACCCTGTTTGGACTTAACTGTTACACTCAACAGTAATCTGTGGGTTTGTTTTTAGGTTAACTTGGGTTTGTTTGTATCTGGATTAGATATCAAGGAAGCTATTTACAAATTCATAGTCTGTTTCTGGAAAATGGAAGCAGCTTGCATGCAGGGCTGATACCATTAAGACTGAGTTAATGGTGTGGTGCTGGCATTTTTCAATTACTGTATAGCAGATATAGGGATTAATGCTGCTACACTGTGGCTATTCTTCAAAACAGTGTCTCTCTGAAGATAGCCATGGTTTTCCATACAGTGGTATGCTACAGCTTTTATCTTGATAATTATAAGTTCAGTGTTATGAAACTAAAGAAAAGACAAGGAATATTGTCTCCTGTCTCCAAAAAGAAAGTATAGTATAAAAGAATGGCAAAGAATAGAGCAAAAGGTGACATGAACATGCAGTTGGTTGGGGATCTTTTTTACTAGATTCGCTTTCTTTTTATCTTATGGAATAGCAAAATTAATCACATGTAACTGTGTTAGCCCATAGCTGCAGGGAAGATCTAGGACAGGGTTGCGTCATTGCAGCCCTCCAAAAGCTTCGGCCTACAACTCTCTTAAGTCCTAGACATGACGAGGTTGTGGGCCAAAACATTCACACAGCCACTAGAAGAATAGGTAGTGAACAAATTCTACTTTTATGTTCTTGAGTCATTTCAGACATTCCAGCTTTAGTCTGAAGCATTTAGATATATTGGAAAAATACTAATGATTCAAGAAATGACTAAATATAAAGAGGTGCAGAGTTAGCAGCTGCTGGAAATACAAGAACAAAGAACAAGGAACGGAAAAGCACTCAAATCTGCTGTTTTGCCTAGTCTTAGCACAACCTATTGGCCCTAAAATAGAGTCCTGATGCCTTTCTCCTGGAATGAGTTCTGAGGATACTGGATTTGTGCAACAGATAACAGCCATGTAGGGTTAACATGCTGCCAAGCCCATTCGTACTCACCATCTTTGACAACTCCAAATGAAATACATGAAAATGACTACTAATCTACCTGTGCTCTAAACCAACACTTATTACTTTCCATGGATTTAACAACCTTAAGGAAAATTGAAAAGAAAACAAAATAGTTTCCACTACCAACACTGTGTACAGAGTAAGACATGGCAGCCCAAAGCTGACTGCTCACTTAGGACTAAAACAGGGTACTTACAGGCTGAACAAGTGCAGGATTAGCAGCATGTTCTGGGGACAGAGCTGGTGTTGAGGTAGGTAAGCGGAAGTTGAATGCTGTAACATGCTGATATGCTGTTACCAAAGAAGGGCGAAAAACAAAATTGTTAATGCTAAAAGAAAAACAACAACAACAAAATTATTGTCAGGCCAAAACATGGTAACTCTACTCACTATTTTCAGGAATAGTGGAAAGTGGTACTTCAGGAACACCACCGGATTTTTGTGGAGCTTGCATATTTAGCAGAGACATTTGTGTCTGTACATGCTCACAGAGTTTCTGATGAGTTACAGGAGAATGCTGACTGCAAGGTACATGAATTGGTTGAATAGCAGGAACCTTCTGAGTGTTTACAGAGACCGTGTCCTTTCCAGCAGCAGTTACATTTGCTGAAGCTGGCTTCCTATTTGACATAGGCACTATGAAAAACAAGAGCTTAATTTTCAGATGTTTAAGGTCTAATACAATCCCAATATAGTACTTCCTCTTTTAGATTTGCGAATCTGGCTCTTGAAGCTCCACTATACATATGTAGCCTTGGTTATACCAATTCATCATGTAATATAACAGCAACAATACTGTTTCCTAACAGTATAGTGCTTACTTTAATTAGCTATAGCCATATGAAGACAGCACTGCCTGCATCTAGACCAAGGATGAATAGCAAACATTTTGATTCAGTCCTCCTGATGAATACTGAACATATTTAAAGACTTTGGCTGAAGATACACCTCAACTAAGCAACTATATTGAATGTTCACAGCATACTCCAATATGTAAACAACATTACAACTGAAATACTAGAGTACCAATTGTATCTTAAAATAAAAAAATGATGGGTAAATATTTGTTTTAAGTCAAACAAAAACTGCTTACCTATTTCTTTATGTACATTTACAGAAGGAAGTTTTTTCTTCAGGCCTCTCTTCTTTGAGCCTTTTCCTTTATTAAGTAACGGTCTGGAAGTTGTTCTGACAATGGCTGTGTTCCCTGTCTTCTGACAGATATTTGCCATTCCTAGTGTCATTTTAAAAATAATGTATTTATCCATATTATTTAAACTGCCTTTCAGAGTGCAGTGTACTCACAAGGGGGATTATCAGATTACCAAATGCTTGAGAAAATATAATTAAAGAGGCATAGGAACAGAAGGACACACACAGAGAGCAACTCAAGTACAGACAGTTGAACTGAATAAACATACCTCAACAATACTGCTTAGCAGTGGAATAAGCCATCAATACTATACTACAGATGGCTTAGTTAATTACTAAATGACTTACTTTCTATACAATGGAAACTGAACACAAGTAATCAAAAGGATACTACCTTCAGATTCATTTTGCAAAATATCTTTCAGTAAAGCTGCACAGCGATCAAGGCCATGATGAATACTTGTAACCTGTAGAAAGGATCTAATTAAGATTATATATATATATAAAGTTTCCAGTCACAGCTCATTATTAACCCCATTCATTGTCCACATGGGGCGGGGGGAGAGAGAGAGAGAGAGCGCGCGCAAGCAAGCATGTGGCAAAACTAACATGTTTTCTATGCTTTCAAATGATGGAACTGAAAAATGTTTGCATATATTTATTTGCAGATATTTTTCTGTGAGTTTTTAGAAGACTTCCAAAAACTCCCAAGATAGTACTAAAGACAAAGTAGTCTTGGGTGCTGGAGGGTATATGGGTTTGAAATGGCAGCAGGTACATGATGCAGTGGATGAGGAAGAAGAGGGAGGACAGAGAGTGAAGCAAGTCTTAGTGCATTAAAAGCTTTGGCCACTCCGGTTTTTGTCTCTAATAATACTACTTCGCCTTTGCATACTTAGCAAATTCCATCATGACATTACAGATTTTCCTCTAAACAGAAAAATACAAAGAAGTATTAAAGACAAAATTACAGTGGCTGCTACAAGCTAAGAACAGAAGGCTTTAAAGGGACAATCCTTTGCATGCTGAGAAAGAAAACATTCTAAAATCCCAGCAGTCCAAAGGCAGCCATAAAGGCTGTAGGACTTTCCCACAACTGGCTTCCCTTGCTTCCATAAAAGCACAACTGATTATCCCCTCTTCTATCTAATCTGTAGATCAAGTTTAGAATCATACAGATTATGCTGTGGTCGGTACAATGAAGACATACACTGTACCTCCTTTTACCATCCAAGGACAAGTCCTTCAGTCTCACAGCTTACCACTGGAAACAGAATACAGACTGTACCAAGGATAACTCTACACATTAAATTGGTATACATCTAAAGCTACACGGTGTGAGAAATGTGAGGTTGCAAAAACATCAATTATGCAGGTGCATTTACTTGAGAACCTGTACTGAAGATCCTGTGTTTAACCTATATCTTGTCCTACGGTGTAAAAGGTGTTATCCTTTAAATGGATATTTTGTAAATTTGCATTGTTTAATTAATGTTATTATTTTTGGTGCTTTTTTGTTTTTTCCTTATTCTTTACAAATGACTTCAAGAGTCTTTTATGCTCTGTGAAGTGATACAAAAGAGATCTCTTTTTAACTCCACTCCCACAACCATCAAACAACCCATGTCAATCCTTTCCATGTGTATTAATAATGAAAAGATACTTGCAAGTCACTTTGGATTCCTTGCAAAAGGAAGAAACACAGGATATAAATGTAATGTAATAGTAATATGTGACTAACTCCAACACTGGACATGTAAATATAAGAAAAATATTTCTTGTATTAATTTATATATCACTATGTGATATATTTAAATATATGACCACAGCCTCTTAGACTAGACATTCTACAAATAACATTCAATGGCTGGGTTCAAACACCATGATAAATCATATTCAAGTGTTGAGTATGGGTAGTAGCCGAACTGTAGATATCAGGTTACCTGAACCCAGCCAGAGGAACAGCCATGGATTCTTAATTATAAACAACCCACAGTTTACAACCCAAAAATGAACCATGGCTTGTCTTCATGGTTAACAAAATATACTTGGTTAACACCACTGGGTTCAAACAACAACCCACACTCAATGGATACTCAGTCCTTGAGTGTGAACTATATTGTTGTCTGAATCCAGACCATACATTACAAATAGTAAGGTCAGCCTAGGTTTTTACATTGTATTCTTTCATTACCTGATCCTCAGAATCTGTGGAATACAGAGAGTATCCAGAATCAACATTTGAATGTGCCACTTTTCTTACAGGGATTCTGGAATAAAGAGATGCTGTGTTGATAATTGCTTCAATCATATGAAAGAAAACTCAGAAACAATTTGTACTTTGATATCTCAGAAATGAAAAATACTAACACCACGTCATTTTTCTTCACCTGGTTATGACAATATTTTGTGCTGAGGCTTTTAACAATATACATGGATATATATTACCCATTCCAGGTGTTTTTACAGGGCTACTCTTCATCATATGTTGCTTTAGCTGTTTTTAATTTTGACTGAAAATGTTTATATTTTGAAAAAAAAATGGTATTTTATTGCACTGTTTTATGAACTGGGAGCTTTAATTATTGAGCAGTATAAATAATTTTAAAAATAACAACAAAAATGTGTAGTTACAAAAGCTATTCCACTGGAACTCTCACCTGAAAGAACAAGTCACTTTTGATTTTTAAAACAAAATTTGGTCTTAACTAGCGAAATTTTGTGATGTTTTGTTTCTTAACTGATTTTTAAGAGATTTTAAAAATACCCCCCCTTTCCTGTAACTTATTTATGAAATGTGGCAGTTTGCCACCTAAAAGAGCCAGCGGTGAGGACCTTGTAGTTCTTCAGAGATTGTTGTTGCCAACTCACAACCCAAACCAGCAAAACTAGTGATAAGGAATGAAGCAAATTGTAGTCCACAATCATCTAGAGATTTCTCTTTGACCTAAGACAATGATAATAAGTTGCCCGTATCTTGTAGCTATAATAAAAAAAGATATTATAAAGATACTCTTACTGTTTCTTGCTACTTGCTACTTTAGTTGATCCAGTCAACCTTCCTGAAGACAATACCTGTTGATTGTTCAAGCAAGCATTTAGTATTTTATATTTGTTTTCAGCAGAATTATAATAGAAAACACTCATTTCTAGTTCATTAGAAACATACTGAAATCTATTCAAAATATTCAGACTTTGTACAGGAAAGCCATCATGCAAGCGATATCCAAATTTAAAGTATTATAAGTGATGGGCAGGACTGAAAAAGAAAAAAAAATCTACTTCAACAGTACTGCAAAGAAACCCCTAAATACAATCATCTGCAGCAATATAGCATGTCTATACCTCTAGATCAGGCCAAAGGTTGAATTTCATTTTGAAGAAACTCTAGGGGCCACATTCCAATGGTGAGAGGGACTGAAGGCTGGGAGAAGGTGTAAAACAAAACAAAACCAGCATAATTTAGTGAGCAAGTGAGAGCCAGTATAGTGCAGTGGTTAGAATACTAGTATGGGATCCAGGAAATATGAGTTCTAGTTCCCACTTGGCTACAAAGCTGACTCACAAGCTTCTTACAAGGATAATATTGAGAGGAGAAGCACACAATTTTGACCCAACACTGGGTAGAATAGCTAATACCCTGTAAGTCAGAAATAAAACCAAATGCACACTTACAAGATGGGGGAATATTTGGCTCAAGAATACTACAAGCAAGAAGGATCTTGGAATTGTTCTACAAGCTGAATGAGCCAACAAAGTGATGTAGCTACAAAAAAGCAAATGCTATTTTGGACTGCATTAACAGAAGTATAGCCTCCAAATCACATGATGTACTGGTTCTCCTCCATTTGGCACTAATTATCCCCCATCTGGAATACTGTGTCCACTTCTGGACACCCCAATTGAAGGCAGATGTAGGCAAAAAGCTGGATGAGGTTTAAAGGAGAGTGACAAGAATGGTCAGTCTTGAAACAGCCCTGTGAGGAGAGTCTGAAAGAAGTGGGCAAGTTTAGCCTGGAAAAGAAAAAACTGAGGGGAAATAGACTAGATCTTTTCAAATATTTATTTATTTATTTTTCAATTTATATGCTGCCTTTTTCCTAAAGGGCTCAAGGCAGCTTACATCTCCTCCTCCATCTTATCCCCACAACAACAACCCTATGAGGTAGGTTGGGTTGAGAGTCTGTGACTGGCCCAAAGTCACCCACAGTTGGCTCCATGGCTGAGTGGGGACTAGAATCCAGGTCGTCTGAGTCCCAGTCCCATGTTCATAACCGCTACACCACACTGGCTCTCTTGAAAGGCCAGGATCTCTTCTCAGTCATGCCAGAGCACAGGACACAGAATGGGCTTATGTTACAGGAAGACAGACTCCAGCTGGACATCTGTCCAGGAAAAACCTCATAACTCTTAGAGCAGTACTGCAATGGAACCAATTCCCTAGGGAGGTTGTGGGCTCTCTCACACGGGAGGCATTCAAGAAGCAGTTGGACAGCCATCTCTCAGGAAAGCTTTAACCTGGAGTCCTGCATTGAGCAGTAGGTTGACTTGATGATTTTACAGGTTCCTTCCAAACGGCAACTTAGCACATATTTGTTACCTATCAAAATGTATTTACACAGGCAGCACAATGGGAACATACATGCAAACTGCAAAATATGTTTGAAGTGGGGATTACCTGAGAACCCAAAATTGATACTGGAAAACAGAACATATTACAAGTGGGCAGAAAAAGTAGAGGTGAGACTGGAACAGGGCCCTTTCCAGATAAGAGCTATGAAAACAAAAGTGATTGTGACAGATGACAAGCCTAAGGAACTTGCAGTGCACATATTGGAGGAAGGCATGAGGAGAGGCCCTCATTTCTGTACGCTGAACTCTGTGCTCTGAAGGTGGCACATAGTGTACTGTTATTGCATTTGTGATAGCTACACCCTACGCTTCTCAACTTGCCTAAGTTAAGTCCCATTAATCGACGGGTCTTCCCTAACAACGGTCAAGTCCGTACTACAAACAAGGAGAGGTTTGGGCGGTTAAATTCGCACACAGGGCGAACGATCTCTCAGAAACATCTCACAGCCGTGCACCGTGAAACCAGGTAAAAGCTCGAGAAATCCGCGTTGGGGCAGACCGAGGGAGCCGCGGCCCCGCGTCCCGCTCGCCCAGTGCCCCTCCGCCGCCCGGGGGGGGGCACGAGCAGCAGGGAAAGAGCACCCTCCTCCCCAAGCGCCCCGGCGACTGCTACATACAGGCCCTTTGGCTTGTTTTTCGGATGGGAGGGTTAAAAAAAATATCCACGTTTTCCAACGGGTTCAACACAAGCCCGGATCCTTTGTTTTTACGTCCTGCCCGTGGCGGGGAAGAAGGGGATTTGTTGTTGTTAGTTGCAAAGCTGCCCAGCTAATTTTAGCAATTCCCACTCGTCCTCTTTTTTCAAAACTTTTCCCGCCCCCTACTTGATTTGCTGCAGGAATGTTTAAAAAATGTACTTGCAATAGTTCTGTTCACTCGCTAAGCTTATGCGGGAAAGGAATAAATAAGATTCAGGGGCTTTCTAGGGCACATACCTGAAATATTACTTGCACAAAATTGTTGTACATATATTTAGCTTTACGCTCCCCCACACCTTGTTGGCTTTACCTTATGGTGTCGTAAGGAGCCCTGCCTCGCCATCGTCACCGAGCCAAGAGCAGAGAAGCAGCCGCAGCCACAACTGCAGCTGTCCTCCCAAATTGACTGATGGGCCCAACTCTGAGAGAAGCGCCTAATTCTGGCCCCTCCCACTCCCTGCTGTCGTTAGGAGGCGGCGGTAGCCCGAGCGGGAAAGGGATGGGTGGGAGGGGAAAGAGAGTGCAGCGGCCTCCTACTGGCGAAAACCTTCGCGAAATTGGACCAATGGAGTCAGTGGAGCGCAGGGAAGGCGTGGTTTATCCAGTTTGCTGCTCGATTGCTCTCTAAGGTGATCACTGCGCAAATTAAAGCGCAATACTATGCTTATTTCAGTGGAACAACTTGCTGGGAGCTGCAGAACCTGTTTCCGTCTAAGCATGCAAGGGTCTGCGCCCTTAAGCTGCTATATTCAGTTACTTAGGAGGTGTGGTCGAGTCCCGTTTAATTCATGGAACGTACGGCCCAGGGGACAAAGGTAAGATCGCGGTGTTAAAGATGATGCTAATACGGTTTAGGTGAAAACCAGAGAACTGTGTCTTATTGGTTGACCCAAGATAGGGCTCTCAAAACAGCGCGCCCCAGGTAACAGAGCGCAGGAATATACTGAATTTGCTGCAGCCAAAATAAAAGCGTTACAAGCAAGCACAATTGGATTGCAGTGTGAGTTTTCGAAGGCAGAACCTGACCTTTAGTTGCGGAGTTTGTTGCCATTACACATGAATAAGGCTGCAATTCTATACACATGAACCTGGGAACAGACATGTGGAATGACCATGTAAGAGGATGCACTGTTCATCTGTTAATATACCACAAAGACATTATCTTGGTGTTTTACAAAATATTTCAGCTTCTCTGGTGCAACAGCCATTCCTAGTTTCAACAGATATACTGCTCTACGATAGATCCTAGAATCATAGAACAGTGGAGTTGGAATGGGCCAAGAAGGCCATCAGGTCCAACCCCTGCTGTTGCAGGACTCCAGTTTACACCATCTGACTCAGATGACCAGTTTCTTTTTGATTGTCTCTAATGTGAGAAAGCCCACCACCTCTCTAGGCAGCTGGTCCCACTGTTGTATTGCTCTGACAGAAAAAACTTTTCCTGATATCTAGCCTGAATCTGGGTTTTCACAACTTGAGCTGATTATTTCATGGCCTATATTCTGGTATGAGCAAGAAGAGATCTTGTCCTTCCTCTCTGTGGCAGCGTTTCAGGTACTTACAAAGTGATATCATGCCCCCCACCCCTAGCCTTCTCAAGGGTGAACATACCAGTTCTCTCAGTCCCTCCTCACAGGGCAATGTTTCCAAACCCTGGATCATTTACTGTGTCACCCCACTCAGAGAGATGGAATGCATTGACTCTTCTGGCATGGACAAGGCAACTTGGACAGTGCTGGGAAGGGCTATCACCCCAGCCAACCTCCTGGCTTTGTGCAGCATTTGTTGCCCTGAGGGGTGGGGAGATCATGCAAAGCCACTCGGCTAGCTCTAGGAAAAGCAGTGGCTTCTCCAGGTGCTAGCTACGTATGTCCCCAGCCTGGGTACCACATAACCTGTGATGCCAATTATCTCAGAAGAGTGGCCACTAGTTGCAGTGCAGGCCACTCCTCCCCCCCCCCCCGCTGCCACCTTCCTAATATTATCTCCAATCGTAGATCAGAGGTAGCAGTAAGGATTTCCCCAGTGGGTGGAAGACCAAACCTTGACCCCAAGGAACCCAAGAAGTCTCCATAGTCTGGGGTTCAACATCCAACATAAGATATTTGACTAGTATCGTACATATCCCTAAAGTCTGCAACTGAAATAAACCAGACTTCCTAATGCAGTGCATACCTGTTTGGCACTTAAAGAAGGAGCCATAAATTTCCAGGTCTTCAGTTATTTACAATACCAAGAAAAAATATAAATATATATAAGAACATTTTTATATCTTCTCTATGTGAAACTGGAGGATAAATATTATGTAATATGGCAAAAAAGTAAAAAGATTATAGTACTTTTCTAGAGTTATGCTGTTGCCAACAGGTGTTTCCAGAGGGACCACTACAAGCCGTGCAGTCAAAATGCATCCATGCAGCTGTTCTGATATACTCTCCTTAACAGATTTTTATGGTAATTAATGAGTTGAGGAAGGACAGAAAGAATGAGCAGTGCAGGAAAATCTCCAGGAAGTGGACTTTTTAGAAATTCCTATTGTTGCAGGTGTATTTGATCCCCCTAGTAGGGTTTTGGCTAAGGGCCAGCTTAGGGTTAGGAATAGAAAAGCTAAGCATCCTGCCAATCCATAGAGGCGTGCACAGGGTTCAGGAGAGGAAGGAAAATGAGCTGTGCAGAAAACTCAACAAGAAGTGGACATTTTGGCACTCCCTATTATGGCAGGTGTATTTGATGCCAGTATTAACAGTTGTTATGCAGGCTGAGCTTAGGGTTGCAGATGGAAAAATTAAGCTTCCTGTTAACGTGCAGAGGCCTGCAGGGTGTTCAAGAAAGTCAGAAATGATGAGCTGTTCAGAAAAATCCACAGAAAATGGTAATATTGGAAATCCCTGTTGCAGCAGGTGTATTTGAGACCCCAGTTAAGGTTATGGCTAAGGTCCAGCTTGGGGTTTGGGTTAGAAAAACAGAGCTTCCTTGAAGGAGTAGAAGCCAGCAGGGTGTTTAGGAAGGGCAGAAAGGAGGGGCTGTTCAGAACAATCTCAAGTAAGTGAACATTTTAGAAATCCTAATTGTGCCTGATGTATTTTAGCCCATTATTAGGCCCAGCAAACAGTTAGAATTAGAAAAACTAAGCTTCCCTGGAAAGAGTAGAGCCCTGAAGGGAGTTCACAAAGGGCAGAAACAATGAGCTATACAGAAAAGATCCCCAGGAAGTGGACGTTTAGGAAATCTCTATTGCTGTAAGTACACTTGATCGCCCTTTTAGGGATACAGCTAAGGCCCAATTTATGGTTACAGTGGTATAAATTAAGCTTTCCTTGGAGGTTTAAAGGCCTGCACGGTGTTCAAGAGGGTGACAAAAAGAGGGCTTTGCAGAAGAATCCTTAGGAAGTGGACATTTAGGAAATCTATATTTCTATAGGTGCTTTTAAGGGCCCAGTTTGGGTTACGACTAAGGCCCAGCTTGAGGTAAGGGTTAGATATAAGCTTCTCTTGAAGGAATAGAGGCATCCAGGGTGTTCAGGAAGGGCAGAAAGAATGAGTTGCGCAGCAAAATCACCAAGAAGTGGAAATCCCTTTTCCTTCAAGGACATCTGAGCCTCATATTAGGGTTATGTTTTTAATCCTAACACTAAGCTGGGATTTAGCCCTAACCCTAACAGGGGCCTCAAAGAACCCTGTCACAATGGGGATTTGAAAAATTTCCACAACCTGGGGAATTTTCTTCTAAATGTCCACTTCCTGGGTTTTTGTCTACACAATTCTTTCTGCCATTCCTGAACATGGTGCAGAACTCTAAACCTTGAAAGGAAGCTTAATTTTACTAACCCTAACCTGGCCCGTAATCCTAATAAGGCCCTCAGATACACATGTCACAATGGGCATTTCAAAAATTTCCACTTCCTGAGGATTTTTCTACACAATTCGCTCTTCTCACGCTTCCTGAACACTGTTCAGGCATTTGTACCTTTCAGGAAAGTTTAATTTTTCTAACCCTAATCCTAAGTGGGCTCTTAGCCAAAAGCCTAATAAGGCCCTCAGATGCACCTGTCACAATGGGGATTTCAAAAATTTCTACTTCCTGTGATTATTTCTCCACAGCTCATTATTTCTGCCCCTCCTGAACAGCGTGCAGGCCTCTAAACCTTGGCAGGAAGCTTAATTTTTCTAACCCTAACCTGAATATGGCCCTTCCCCGTAACCCTAATAAAGTGCTCAGATGCATATTCACAATGGGTATGTCAAAAATTTCCATTTTCTGTGGGTATTTCTAAATAACTCCTTCTTTCCGCCATTCTTCAACACTATGCAGGCCTTTATACCTTTCAGGAAAGCTTAGTTTTTCTAACCCTAACCCAAAGGTGGCCCTTAGCCACCTAATAAGGCCCTCAGATGCCCCTGTCATAATGTTGATTTCAAAAATTTCCACTTCCTATGCAAATTTTGGCACAACTCATTCTTTCTGCCCTTCCTGAACACTGTGCAGGCCTCTAAACCCTGAACGGAAGCTTAATTTTTCTAACTGTAAGCCTAAGCTGGCCCTTACACCAATAAGGCTCTCAGATGCAGCTGACACAATGGAGTTTCAAAAATGTCCACTTCCTGTGGATATTTCTGCACAAGTCATTCTTCCTGTTCCTCCTGATTATTGTGCAGACCTCTAAACCTTAAAAGGAAGCTTAATTTTTCTAACCCTAACCTTAATGTGGCCCTCATTCCTAACCCCAATAAGGTGCTCAGATGTGCATGTCACAATGGGGATGTCAAAAATGTTCACTTCCAGTGGATATTTCTAAACAACTCCTTTTTTCTGCCTCTAAACCTTGAAAAAAAGCTGAATTTCTCCAACCCTAACCCTAAGGTCATCTGTACCCGTAACCCTAAGAAGGCCCTGAGATGCAGCTGTCATATGCAGTTTAAAAAATTTCCACTTCCTGTGGATATTTCTACACAACTTCTTCTTTCCGCCGTTCCTGAACACCATGCAGATCTTTATTCCTTTCAGGGAAGTTAAATTTTTCTAACGCTAACTCTAAGGTGGCTCTTGGCCATAACCCTAACAAATTGTTCAGATTAACCTGTCACAATTGGGATTTCAGAAATAGTTTTGAATACTGTGTCATAATACAAAAATAAAAAGATTGAAAGAAAGGTACCTGAAAAAAGAAATGTACCAGAATACAAAAATAAAAAGATTATATTAAGGTGGGGACCATAACTCAATGACACAACCCTTGCTTTGCATGCAGAAGATCCCAGAGTCAATTCCTGGCATCTCCAAGCAGGGTTCGGAAGCAATGCTGCCTGAATTCCTTGAGATCTGCTGCCAGTGACTGTGGACAATACCAGGCCAGATAGACCAATGGTCTGACTGAATATAAGGCAACTTCCATAGGT